GAACATGGAACACTGAATCAAGCAGGATATTATATGGACAGAGAAGTTTTCTTAGTCAATTCAGATTTAGATCTTCAAAAGATTGTTGTCGAGAACAGTTTAATTTTAAATTATTTATATGCATTGTTTTGTGAAATGAACATAAGGTTGTACTTTGTCTAGCTTTATGCTGACTGCTGCCGTAAATTGACAATTTTACTACGACGAAAATCATCAGTCACATGATTAAGATATTAGATAATAATAATTATAGTACATTAATTAACATTATATAAAAATAAGATAATAACAATAAATCAATAGTAATAATAATAATAATGAATTGATAATAATAATAATAAATTATTAATGATGATGATAATAATAATAATAAATTGATAATAATAATAATGAATTGATAATAGTAATAATAATCATAATGTTGATGATGTGATCTAATGATAAAAATAAGACAATCATGAATTCATAATTATAATAAAAATAATAATAAATTATTAATAATAATAAAATAATAATAGATCTAATAATAATTTAAATATTTGTCTTTGTTTGACTATGTTGTTTATAATTCATGGTGTAGGCTACATTACAGTACAGATTTATAACAAATTATATTTGTCACACAATTTATTGCAATTTTAAGTTGACAAGTTGTAGTTCACTTTTCATTGTAAAATTTATTTTCCATTCCACCTTTTATTTACTTTACACAACCAAAAAAGATAAATATTTTAATATAATAAATGGATAGCTATATGATTATGATCCCCTTTTAATGATTTAGACATAGTGAACACCATCCAAATATAAAACTTTAAATTTGAAAGGATATCATTTATTTATTTTTTACTGTTTCTTATAGTTTGACCATAGATCTACACATAATTAAACTTAAAACTTTAATTTAGAGGTTAGAAGTTTTAAATTTAGAGGTTAAAAGTTTTCCATTTCTTTAGGATTTCTTATAACCTTATGCTATATGATAGGTACTCATTCCCCTAAACTAGTGATAAAAGACGTGAACACGCTTCTTAAATTTTAGTGTTAAACACTGTTGATAATATTTACACAAAATCATGCATTCAACGTTTATCTTTTTTTTGTTGAATGTTGTTCAAAGGAAAATCATTCAAGACAGTTTTCTCTTGGCTTTAGTATAATACCAAACTTTGGTTGAATTTTATGTAAACTAATAGAGGGTGTGACGTTTGACATTTAAAATGTTAACATAAATCGTCTTTAATTTCGGTGTTGAAACAATATTTTATTGTGAAAAAGTACACCCTATTAAATTTCAAAATAACATGGTTATGATATTAAAATGACATTGTGCCTATTTTGTCATGGTCAAGTTATGCTGAATTGACTTTATGTTTCAAATAATTGACTGAAAAAAGGTTATTGACCTACAGCTGATATTTTAAAATGTTTAGGATAAAATATAAGTATGCCTAAAATATAAAAAGACTGTCCCAAACTTTTTATAAATTGAACATTTTGGGTAATTTCCAATGGCATTGATTTATCGTTCATAAATGGAAAGTACATTATAAAATTGAAAGGAATTATGGCAAGATGTAAACTTATTTGACTTTCACCTGTTCACTCATTATAATCAAAGCCTTGGATGGGCAGTAGAATTTATGTCCAACAAAAAGCTTAAACCATTATTATTGGAGTTTGGGAATTTAGTATGTTTTTGGCCAATAAAGATATTTTATTAGTAAATATTCCATGAAATCTATTAATTGTTTCAAATCTTTTTACAGCTCAGTTAAGTATATTAGTATAAGTACCTATTTTAAATAAGCGCTTCACACAGTTGTAAGAAAGACAGTCAAGGACTGACCAGGATGGGTGGTGTGAAATGCTGCAAATTGAAAAATATAGCTCGAACCTATGTACAATTGTGGCAACCTATGTACAATTGTGGGGTAAAAAATTTGGCCAATTTCTAACACGTTAATATTGCATGCTATTCTAATGACAATAGCTGCTAAGCATACTAAAATGTAATAGCAGTGTTCTGCCTTGTCGAAGATATGATGCATTAAATTGTTGCTAGTTTTCTATACCGCATGGAGCGTAAGTGTTTACATCATGCGATTTAAAAACAAATGGAAACCTGATTAATGTAACATTATTAAACATGTTGGTTGAATTGGAAGGATTCGAACCCATAGAGTGCAATTGGAAATATCTGCCCTCAGAGTCATGCAGGTCTCACGATCATGATGGTCACTATTGTATTGGCATGGTTCGCACGGGCCTTGAAAAGTCCTTGAATTTGGTTTCAACCTTGAAAAGTCCTTGAATTCAGGGTTGCCTTGAAAAAACACTAAAATTGTCCTTGAATTTCAGTAAACCCCCTTGAATTTTGGTAAAATGCCTTGAAAATCCAAAAGGGTATAAAACCTGTCGCTGTAAAGGTCAGGCAAATTTTCCGCTACAAATCGGACATGTGAACGAAGGCAGCCCGATCGAGTGCGCCCATTTGGATCTGTTTTAGTAGTGTTTAGCCAGCGTTACGGTTTTGGCACGGATTTTAACAAGCACTTTGGTATGACGTCATCGCAAATTGTGTACAAAATGTCAGTTTCCATTGCGAAGTAAAAAAATGGGAAAATACACTAAGAAATGTACGTTTCAGCTCAAATGGCTTCATCAATACAGTTGGGTAAAACAAGTTATACAAGACCCACGAAAAGCACAATGTACCATGTGTATGAAAACCATCGATTTGTCGCAAATAGAGTGCATTAACATCGCATGCGAGGGGTGCAAAGCACCTAAAAAATCTAGACATCAAGTCGTCATTGACGAAGTGTGGCCTTGCATTTGTCAGACAGGAAGGAACTATAATTGTCAAAACTGAAAATTGCAGTAGATCTGATTCAAATAATAACATTGTGCCATCCCAATCCACAACGGAAACTGTGCATGACATGACAATACCACCCCCACCCACTTATAGTAATCAAGAAAATGTCCCCTGTGTGTCCAGTAATCAAGCAGGAATATCTCCGTTCATTTCAAAGGCTGATACAAAAAAGGCTGAAGTTATGTGGACATTACACACAATTTGTAATCACCTATATGTTACAGTTTTGGTGTTCATATATTCTACTGACTGTGCTGATTTTCTAAATATAGTCACTGTTTTGCAATTCTAGTCATTTGAACCTTAAATTGAAATACACATGTTTTATTTACATGTTTTATATCACAGATATGGTTGTAAAAGTATAATTTTGAATAAGATCAATTGCAATAAAAATGTATATCACAGATATGGTTGTAAAAGTATAATTTTAAATAAGATCAATCGGGAAAAAAATGCCTTGAAAATGACAATTTTACCTTGAAAAGTCCTTGAATTTTGATTTGAGAATTTGGTATGAACCATGTATTGGGCATATGTTTTCGGCGTGTTGGTTGGTGGCTGCCCCCGGGGCCCCCTCGCCCACTTTGCGGCCCACCAACCTTTCAAAACCATAATATTGAAAATTGGTGAAAAAACGTTGGAGTTATGGAGTTCATATTAAGAGGAGTGCTGAAAAATGTGCAGCGAGTTGCATACCTTTACTAAATATGTATATATAAATCTTTTTTTTTATTTTTTGTGGGAAATGAAGGTAATTGAATTAAAAGCATATACCAAATATTAAAACATGTCTCAAATGAAAAATACTGCAGTTTACATGGTTTTGGGGGGTGGGAGGGTTGTGGGGTGGGTGGCGGATCAGCGCGCCGAACACCTATGGCATAGGGTGGTTCAGGAAATGTATAATTGAAAAGCTAATGTGTTGATGCATAATTTATAGTTCAGTTGATTGAATGCACTTATTGTATACATGTATCTAGCACATATTTGAAGCAGTTTGAACGTTATTGCTAAATTAATATCTCGAAAAAATGCACTGTCAAATGTAGCTAAAAATGCTTCAGCGAACAGGTTTTATAGTTCTGCTTGACCTGTTCGCTGAAGCCAATCCCGTAGCGAAAGTCAACCAGAGCTGTGACATATTTATGTCATGCTTTAATTCAATCAATTTCCGATACCTGCACAAAAGCTATACACATACGGGTACATCAATCTTTTTTGCACATTTCAGACTAAGTTTTTGAACAAAGAAGGTTTGATCGAGTGAATAATACCTCAATGTTTATCTGCGCGTTAACATTTCGTCAAATTCGCTGCCATTGCTGTCCTATCACGTGACTTTCGAGACTTTATGTTCGGATACCTTCGCGTGACCTTTGGTGACCCGTGACCTAAAAGCTATTTTTAATTTTAAACATGGCTTTGCAATTACGAATGACGGCGTATTTAATCAATAACAGACACCTTACCAACATACAAACTGGGTTCATATTGATGTGAGTGATGAATTATAAATAATTGTTTACGTTTGTATAAAAAAATATGCACTGACCTTACAAAAATAAAAATATATGTCAGTTAAAGCGGTAGTGCTGAGGAACTCTAATTACATCTGTCATTTTTTACGGAAAATGATGAGTTCTAATTATAATTATTATAATTATTTATGGAAATTGGGTTCCATTTCCGGTAATTTATGCAACATGGCTTCTGAAGATAATGTGTCATGCATCATTTCTTCGCAAATTAATGCGTCTTGATCATTTCTTTTATGTATGTGTCCGCAGATACAGTGGCTGCGTCAATTTGATCTTTGAGGTTTAGTTATGGGATTTGTACATCGGTGAGCCGATTATGTCTTCGCAATATTAAAAACGTAGCATGTATGGCAATTTTCCCCACAGGTTATGGGAAAAGTGCATGCTACATTCTGCCTCCCTTAATAATGAATAATATACATGGCAAATATTACCATTCAATTGTGGTTTCACCCCTTAGGTCACTAATGGCTGACCAGGTGCGGCTGCTATCTAGTATGGGTGTAAGTGCAGTTATTGTTGGCCCAGACACCAGTGTGGAATCTTGAAAAAAAAGGTTTGTGAAGTGGTGCACTTATGCACTTACATATATTCACATTATTTTAGCCAGCTAGTTGTAGAAATATAAAAACTGTTTAATGGTATGGAAAGGTATTTTTCATGTTTTAGATATATAATAAGTAACTTTAATAAGAAGCATACATATGCTGCCTTTTTATTCAGAGACTTTCAGTATGATGCTTTGTATATTTCGAGTTATGACTATATTTTATTTCAATTCAGGATTGGAGGATGGATCTTACACAGTTGTGTTCCTTTCTCCAGAGATTCTAGACAGCATTGACAAGTGGAGGTTCTTCCTGGAGAGCTCTGCCTATACTGATGCAGAAGCTATGCTTGCAGTAGATGAAGCTCATCTGTTACATTCATGGTAAGTGAAATTTAATGGCAAAAATGTAGTGGTGCAAGAAATGCTCTCACTGTCACATGTTTCAAAAATGTAGATGCACTATCTTATACTGTGAATTTTATAATTTTTTTCAGATTAAATTGAAACATGGCATTGACTTTTAATAATCTATCTGTATGATTTTGAATAAGAAATTGTAACAAATGATAACAATATGTTTTTTGGTCTCAAAAGTAACTTGATTGGGGATTCAATACTATTTAAAATTAAAAGCTCTAAGACTGCTGAACTGGTATCATTGTAATATATTCTACAATTCTCATTTTTTTATATATTAATTACACATCATGAATGTGTTTTAGGGGAGAGGAGTTCAGACCAGCTTTCCGCAGAATAGTAGAGCTGCGCAGTTTCTTCAGTGGTGCACCAGTATTGGTACTATCAGCAACATGTACAAGTACAGTGCGCCAATCTCTTCTACAAAAACTACAACTGTCATCAGACATTGATGTGGAATGGGAGGTTCCCAACAGGTAATAAACAGCATTAGATAATGAAATTTCATAAATTTATTGTGAAAGCAAAATAACAACAACAATAGTATATTCAAAATATAAAATAAAGAGTTAAAATTGTCTGCATATTCAACATGATCTTCTGATTTTGAATATAAGGGCTTCTATTGCAAAGCATTAAAGTGTTAAACTATTGCAAAGCATTAAAGTGTTAAAGTTATCCCTTTACATTTCTTTTACTTGAATATGCAGTACAAGTGTAAATACAATTCACATTTTCAAGGCCAAACATACATCTACATATCAAGAGTGAAGCAGGGATGGATTTAACAGCCATGCAATGGTGTTTTGATGAAGTCAAAAGTAAGGGTCTGGCAGTGGAAAAAGCAGTAATATATGTAAAGTATGTACAATCATAAAAGAATTTTGTTTGTTTTGATTGAGGAAATAAATTTTGATCCATAAGAATAAAATTAGAACGCTGCAGAGCATTTACAACTTCAGAAAAACAAAATAAGAATCACTTTATATTTACTGTTTTATAATACTGTTATTGAGATAGAAAAGAATGCCATATTAATACAAATCATCCACATATTGTTATTCATTGATTCGATAACATTTTCCAACACAAAAAATTTTTATATAAAAAATCCATGCTGTACTAATTGTATTAAATATCTGTCATCTTTCAATTTTCAGTGGTATAACTCAGATGTCCCGATTGGCGATTGACATTATGGGGGAACTCGGACAGTCTGCATATGTTGGAAATGAGAAAATATTCAAGATGTACCATTCCGGAATGTCTAGGGCAGATCTTGATGGAATTTTAGCAAGCTTTGCTGACCCTGAATCAAAAAGCAGGTTTCTAATTGCCACAATTGCATTTGGGATTGGAATTAACATTCCAGACATTCGTTTCATTATGCATTGGGGTGCTCCCAAGACAGTGGAAGATTATTGGCAAGAGGTTGGTAGGGCAGGACGAGATGGAAAACCAGCACAGGCTAAAATGTATGCCACAAAGGTATCTTTAATAAACTGTTCAAAAGAAATACAGGGCCTTGTGAAAACTGACAGCTGTTACCGTCAATACATATTGGATTTATTGTCTTTTACTCAGATATTTAAGGCACCAACCAAATTGTTCAATAATGACAGAAAATGTGAACAATGCAATTGTCCTGTTTGCTCATGTTGCTCAAACTGCAAGAGACAGTGCCCATGTTATTTTACAATCAGTTAGAGACTATTATAACTGATATTTTGTAATATCAAATTTAAGAATAAAACAGTTTGTTTAAGGACTAGATTGTTAAGTTTGAAAATTGGAGGAAATTTTTATACAGCAAATGATCAAAAATTGTTTTTCAATCATTTATCATACTCCTATACATGTAGATCACAATGTCATAGTTTTCATACAATAGTTCATATTGCACAGCAATTGTTCTATTTACATAGAAGCCTCTCTGTGTCAAGTTTGACTCCATATTTCACCAGTCTGTCTTTCAACTTTGAGGGACTCTTGAGAGGAATGTGATGCACAAAATGTTCATAAGCACTATGGTGTCGTCCAGGCACATGCTGAAAAAGGCATTCTCCTTTGTATACCTTTACAAACTTGTTTAAGTCCCGTTTGTGTGACACATGGACAGACTTTGATCGTCCAATGTATTTGTCTACCACCTGACTCATGAACTTCTCTTCCAGCCCTTTTCCAATGGTTCCAGAAATTAGGCTGCACCTTTGGACTGCTGAGTCTGTATACTGACCCTTGATTCTTTTCAAGTTGGCTGAAAGAAAATGAATACATGTCAAACTAAGTACAAAACTGAAATAGGTTGACATTGTTACTGTTTATCTATGCTAAATCATTAAAATATTATTATTTCATTAGTACAAAGCCACATTTCTTATAAAATTCTAATATAAAACACATACATTTTTTCATGTAGACATAATTATTTATTCAGCTGTTCCACTGAATGATAATAAACAAATTCCTACATTGAATATTTGGATTAAAAATTATTGTCCAATTGTATTTGTTTGGTTGTGGACATTTCAATTTAAACTATAAATACAAATGAAGACTCACTTTTGAATTCATTATTCAAGAATTCATTGATCAGGTCAAGAGGTATGTTGCAACCCGCTTCACCTCTCAGATTTGCAGTGCTGTTCCATATCAAATTTTCTGCTATGCGCTTGGGCATCCAACCATTTACAGCTGTTATAAATTAGAGGATATTTTGAAATATGTATTAATTTTACAAAACATATCATCCTTAATTTTTTTTTCCAAGTATCAACATCTTAAAAGTGAAAATGTCAAAAATCCTTTTACATGCTATAAATAGGGTATAAATAACCTGGATAATTTAGTCATATTATAGATAATCAGGCAAATGGTCAGATAGATTATAATCTGTACAATCACATTATTAAATTTCTGTATTTAAAAGAGGAAAACACCTTAAAGATATGTGCACTTACAAGCTAAAAGCCTAAACGCCAGTGTAAGGTATTTATAATGACCATGCTCCCAGAAATCCAGGATATTCAACTTTCAAAGACTGATCATGGCCCTTCCATCGTTTTCCCTTTCAGCATCCCTTTCTGTCATATGCATTAGACCTCGCCATAATACATTCATTGCGTATGCCTGTTTGTGGTCTATTTCCTTTGATGTCCTGCATGACTCCGAACAATACCATATCCCTGTAGTAAAATTATTACTATATGTGAGCCGCGCCATGACAAAACCAACATAGTGGGTTTGTGACCAGCATGGATCCAGACCAGCCTGCGCATCCGGGCAGTCTGATCAGGATCCATGCTGTTCTCTATCAGTTTTTCTACTTGTTATAGGGTTGGTAAGCGAACAGCATGGATCTTGGTCTGGATCAATGCTGGTCGCAAACACATTATGTTGGTTTTGTCATGACACGGCTCATATAGTTTTGTGTGTGTGTGTGTTTTCAAAATTGAAAGTCACAAAGTTAAAATGAATCGATATCACATAATTGTAAAATTGATAATAGTACTGTTATACTAACTTTGATTCTCTTTCAATCCCACACAAACAGAGTGGAACCATTCACGCTGAATGCAGTCACTCCTCGAGGCACACTGTATCCATCTCCAGTCTGTGTTGTCTAACTGCCTTCCACAGCAGTATGCACTTAGACCTTTAGCCTGGCAGTCAGACGAACACCACCAATCATCCTCCTCAGCTCCCCCAGAAACATCAACACAGTCTTTATGAAACCATCTGGTTTCACAGTGTACAGTGCTTGAGCACTCAATCCATTCAGCTCCTCCTGATATTTACAAAATAAATGCGTTAAAGCAGCATGCCTCCACATTCCGACTAAATTTTGTGAAGTGAACAAAGAAAATCACTATACAATGCAAATGAAACTTATAACCAATGTAAATTACCACAAATAGGTCAGAATATGCAAAAATAGCCCTTACTACATTAGTAACACAGTATAAATAATAACTGGTGCACATGTAGGTACTTTAAACTGTTTGGTAATTGTTTTGTAAGAACTTTTAGGACAAACAAAAGGTATTAACTGATTTTTATTCAATATGTATGACTTACCATCTTCTTCATTACAGATACATGTGTAATTCCTATCATCATCTACACTAGCCATGTACTCATTTACTTGGGGCCTTATAAATTGTACTATCTCCCTTGTCAATGTGGAAACCTCATCCGAGGAAGTTAACAGTTGTTTAAGCTCCCCACTTGGTCTTAGCTGAGCGGCAAGGAGCAGGATGTGACCCTCAGTGACAAAGTCCATGAAATTTGTGAGATGGTTCATGCAGTCTGATGCTTTCTTTTTCACATTTCTATGTCCAAATACATTTTTTATTTGAGTCAGTGTACCCTTGTCACATGCCCCTTTGCCAAATAGAGTATCCAATGTCACCTGCCAAAATGATGATAAATTATTATGTTTCATTCCTAGTTTGATATTTGACTTAGTACCATTTGATATCAAAGTCTGCAACATTTGCAAATAAGATAATGATAACATGATACTTATACTATAGTTGTTTGTATCATTGACCTAAAAATTATAGTAATAAATATACAGTGAAACAGGAAAAAACTAGAAATGTGTCATCATGCCACGGATGCCCCCGCATGCAGCCAAAATTTCAGATGTTATAATATTTAGTTCCAAATTTGCTTGCACAAATTATTGTTTTCATTTTAAGTTCAAAGCCCTTAAAACTTTTCAACGTTTACACAAACCATTTTCATACAATGTTCAAGGCACTGAAATTATTCAGTCTTAACCTTTTGAAAATAGCATATTTCATATTTGTAGCCAAAATAATGGCTACATACATTTCCACAAAAGTATGAGTGCTGAAACTGAAAGTTCAAATTTTTTCCAATATTCAAGAAAGATAAGTTTGTCCAAAATCATTGAACCATGACCAAATTCAAACTTAAACTGCTTATTCCTAAGATGTATCTATATTATTTTCAAAGTGAAAGGGACATAACTCTGCCAAAAAATCATCGAACCATGACCAAATTCCAACTTGACCTGCCCATTCCTTTGACATATCCATATGTCAAATTTGAGTTGAATATGTAACACTGTTGGGTAGATAATGAACAGAAACTGTAAATTTCATATTATTTTCAAAAGTGAAAGGGGCATTACTCTGCAAAAATCATTGAACCATGACCAAATTCGAACTTGGCCTGGGCATTCCAAAAACATATCCATATGTGAAATTTGAGTTGAATGTGTTGTACTGTTGGGGAGATAATAAACAGAAACTGAAAATTTCATATTATTTTCAAAGTAAAAGGAGCATAACTCTGCCAAAAATCATCTAACCATGACTAAATTCAAACTTGACCTGTATTTTCTCATGACATATCCATATGTCAAATTTGAGTTGAATGTGTTGTACCGTTGGGGAGATAATGAACGGAAACTGAAAATTTCATATTATTTTCAAAGTAAAAGGGGCATAACTCTGCCAAAAATCATCGAACCATGACCAAATTCGAACTTGACCTGTATTTTCTCATGACATATCCATATGTCAAATTTGGTTTGAATGTGTTGTACCGTTGGGGAGATAATGAACGGAAACTGAAAATTTCATATTATTTTCAAAGTAAAAGGGGCATAACTCTGCCAAAAATCATCGAACCATGACCAAATTCGAACTTGACCTGTATTTTCTCATGACATATCCATATCCCAAATTTGAGTTGAATATGTGCAACCGTTACTAAGATAATGAACGGAAACTGATGATGACGGAATGACAGAATGACGGAAGGACGGAACAGGGTAACACTATATGCCCCGGCCATTACATGGCGGGGGCATAAAAAGACACATTAAAACAGAACTATCATGATTGGTGGCTTGAAGATACAGGGTAATGTACAATGCTCAATTAATAATTATCAGTATTGGGGTTTTAAGTTATTTGCATGACATTACCTGCAGTAAAATAACTCGTTTATGAAAGTTCTGTGGCCTTGGGATAAGTCCCTCTAGACGGTCTTCAGGAAGAGTTGATGATGACATGGCTATCTTTCCCTCCACCATTCTCTCTACTGACAGCTGATCATCAATGGCAGATTACTGGCCAGGGTTTACCATATTCATCTTTCGGGGTGTAGCGATGAAGGTTCTTCATGATCTCTATAACACCCTTACAAGTTGAAGGATTTTCCTTAATAACTCCAAGGTTTACCTGTACAAAGAACAGTTATTACAAATGAAACAATAAACTTGCTGCAAGTTGAGATGTATTTCAAATAACATAAAATGTACATCATTTAATTTCAATATTTATAACATTTTGTATGGAATGATGGTGCCACCATAGTTAACACATTTTAGGTGATATTATCAAAATATATTGTTTTATGAACTTACTACTTGGCTTTTCCCAGCAGATTCATTTGAAAACTTATGGGATATGTGTTGTTCTACTGGAAGATCAAGGTCAAGGACATTTGTCAATATTCTCTGTACAATAACCTCCATTCTGGTCTGTAATTGCTTCCAGTCATCATCACTTGGTAGGAAATTCTGTCAGAATATATATATATATGAATATTATGAATATAAAATTAAAAAAAAATTATGTAACTTATATATATACTGTGACAAGCATAAAATATTACATTAGCAATACAGCAGTATGGTCATTGGAATACATTTTCTCTCATAAAAATCATTATGATATTGAATAATTTTACCTTCAAATCAATAGATCCAGCTGTTACTGTCTCTTCCCAATTACAAGGTAATGATGTCAAGTTTACTCTGTCAAGTGTTGCGAAACAGTTTGCCCACAAAAGCATCTTGTTACCACTGTGACGGCTCTGATGCCGTGCCACTGACATCTTCTGAACATTGTCCCAACACAAGGAGTATCCAAGAATTTCTAAGATATAATATTTTAAACCTTTTTAATATTAGTGCATAGTGCCTGGTAAACATCTAAGTTTTAATGGTATAACTTTGAAAATTGAATGAATTTAAAATTGATAAATTCCTTTTTTTTTTTCAACTCAATTAATTAAAATAAAATAGTATTTTGCAAAAGACAATTACATGAATGTATATCAGAGTGAATGACTTGATAAGTTATTTAATTAAATAACACATTGAATGAATAATTAAATGTTAAGAATAATATCATGCACATAAAAAACTTATTTAAAGAAAACATGCATGTATTCCTAAAAAATGTAAACATGCCTTTGATTAATTTGAAACATTTCCATATTTATTTTGATAAATAAATTAGAATTCAAAATAATTCAATATTGGAATGCTGATGTAAGAAACAAATCATTTAAATTCACATTTTGGCCAACTGAATGCTGATTTTTCTATGAGAAAATGTTTAATAGTTATTCATTAATAATTGAATATATTTAAAGCTGTACCATTTTTTTCAAAAATGTCAGGGAAGGGAACAAAGTCTTGTTCATCATCTGACTCTGAGTACAGGATGGTATCCTCCATTACCATAGAGAGGTCTTCTATTGCCTGTTCTTCATCTTGGTCTTCATCAGTATCTGATGGCTCAACTTCACTTTCACTGAGTGATGACCAACCACTCTCTTCATTCCTTGTGTCTGGCACAGGTGATGGCAGGACATGAAGAACATTCTTTAAAAAAATTATATTTAAATATACTGTACTTTAATGTTCTTGGCTACTAAAACTAATACATATGAACATGTATGTTATACAAAATAGGAAACAGTTATAATCCAGTGATATATGTACAGTCGAAACTGTACTAACGGTCACCTCTTATCGGCGGTCACCTGACCTTAACGGCCATTTTGTGACGCTCCCGACAAAAACCACTCTATTTTATACATCTGTTCAATGGTCACCTGCTGTCCGCGATCAACGGTCACCTAAAATGCTTCCCGAATCTTAAAGTCGGTCATCTTAAGCGGTCAGCCAGGTGAAACGGCCAGGCAATCTTCTGCGGACAGCCAGGTGAAACGGCCAGGCAATCTTCTGCCATTTATTTTTAAAGATGACACGTGTCACGGATTAACAAAAGCTACTTGTCAGGTGCTAGATATTTACACAAACCACAACATTTCAAGAAGTTTGCATAATTGCTCATCCGTGTCGTAATTACAAACGTTTGGAACGTCTCAACGCACTTGCAATTCGTTCTTTTGAGTTACTGTACGCTAGTTTTTTATTTTTCAATTTACCGATTTAAAGAAAAAAAAGAAAGAAGAAAAAAAATGCATTGTCGATGGCAGAAAGAAATTTCAGTTTATCCCGATTCAGATAAATTTTGTGCGTACATGGTACTTACCAAAGACATGAAAATGAATTACATCGCCGATTGTCTAAATTCCTCAGTAATAAATTCATAAAAACACTTGCTCCATGTGTGAAAAAAAAATTGCAAAAATAAAATGAGGTCACTGTTAAATCACACCCATTAAGTTTACACACTAGATGGCCTCTAAGAGGTAACTAGCGGTCTCTTCAAAGGAATCTTTGATGTTTACAAACCTGTAGCCCTGCTGTTTCAATCCGAAACATCAAAGGAAGTGCCGACACTTAGATGACGTGTACACAATATTCTATTTATCAAAAGTTAGAAAAAGAAACTGTCATACTTTTTTTTGTGAAAAAAATATTACGCATTTAAAATTATTGTGCAAGAAGATATTTTTATGGGATAAATAGTTTCAATTATTGACATAATAAATCGTGAGTGCATTTGTTTATCTGTGTTACATTCATGTAAAGCTTTATGTTGGAAGGATTGTGTACATGTTAAACCATTAAAAGCATACGTTTGTAAATGGTTAAAAACTGATGATGATGATGATGAATCAGACTGGTTTATTTATACTTAAATCAGATTTATTTTACAAAGAAATGCATAATTTATTTGGATAAAAACTGGATCCTCCATTCAGCAGCCACCTGTCTTAAGCAGCCAAAATGACTGCATCCCTTGGCTGGCTGCTTAAGACAGTTTCGACTGTAAATTAAAAAAACAACAAAAAAACTATATAATACATGACTCTCAGTTTTAATAAATCTTAATATGTCTGCACTTTTATTTTTTTTTTAAAGCAATCTTTCTTAATTTCATATATTACCTCTTCAATATTTTGTTTCCATTCTTTAACTTTATTGTCGTAATCCTGCCCTAAACGGTCAACTAATTGTCTGGTTGTGTTGACACTCATACAAAGTCCAAACTTATGGAACCATCTGAACATCTGCAATAGTTATTTTTCCAATGAAAATTAACATGACTAACACAGCTACAAGAACATTGGACAGTCAGTCCTTGCATTTCATCTGACATACTTCATTTATACAAAATGTGCCTCATCATTTTATAGAGAAAATTTTTAGAAATTGTCTAAAATGTTTACTTGTGTATAGGAATTTCATTTAAATCATTTTGACTGCTCAATTTATCTGATGTTTTTGAGCTATTGTTACATTTTTTATAAAATTAAATTTTAGCATACCTTGTGATTACAGCCAGATCGAAACATTTGAATTGAAATGATCTGCTGAATAAATTTGAACTGGGATGGGAATCTGTGGTGTAGAATCACTCCCACAAGGAGACCAAATGCTGGAACAAGCGGGCCAATCAGTTTCCTAAACTGTAACATAGTAAAATGAGTACAATGTGAGAGCTAAAAAATCAACAAATGAATATGCAACAAATATAATTCAGTGCATATGTACTATATAGATATCAAACATAAATTAGGCACAGAGGAGATTGTTTTAATGTATGGCATTTGCCTTGTTATTATTGATCCAAATTAACCTATTAACTTAATGAAAATTTCATTACATCATAAATGAAGTCATTCTATAGATAAAACAAAGAAGCATGATAGACAATGAAGTAAGTCTGAAATAACACTAATATTATTTATAATTATACATACAGTACTTGTTTTATCTTTTAAGATTTTATCTAAAATTGCAAATAATAATTTGTTATGTACCATGAAATCTTGTCCTTAGTTCGTTTTGTGGTGATAACTGACCTCAACAATGATGTTAGAAATGGAAGGCCTGTGTCAACATCGTTTAAAAAACCTTCCCATGAAAATTTATCAATGCTCTCAAGTGTGAGGATTTGTCTTAATGATGTTATCTTTTTAGAGAATGCCCTGACCTCATCCTGGACACACAGACCAATGACCTTTTTAATATCACCATTTGCCTTCTTACACATCATCATAGTTCGTATTGCTGAATCATAGTTGGTATTTTGAACTTGTCTCACAATAGTGTCTATTAATGAAGTATGTTTGGGCTGAAATGAGTAAAATAATTGGTATCTTAAAGCATTTTGATAGTTAATACAAATAGAATGAACTTAAATATTCATAAGAAAAGCTTTTAAATTTTCTTTGTTTCCTCTCATAAACCCATGCCATTTTTTTTTTAGTAAAAAAGTGAACAATCACAACCTAATTAACATCATATATGCAGGACTTCTATATAAATACTTCTCAAAAAATATATAAATCAAAGAATAGGTTAATCAAGACCAGGCTTAATCAATTCCAGAAGATAATGTGTCAGGCTTAATTCATTAATTATGATACAGATAGCAAGACATTTTACCTTCACTGTTTTGGGTGTACTACATGTAGCTTTCCTTGGAGAAAAACACATCCGTTTGGCAATAGGGGATGGTGAAAAAGAAACCGAAGAAACCGAAGATATGTTTGAACATATTTCGTTTCTAAAAACCCCAGAATCTGAAAGCTTCCTTTTCTGTGTTGAAAGTTCTTTTTTATTTTTGCTAACTTTTTCTGAAAGCACCGTCAGTTTACTGATCTTGTTAAAACAATCACCACATACATTTTTCCCTGGTGTCACAGTTACATTTAAAAATTTCTTCACTCCTTCAACTAAGGAGAGCTGTGAAATTCCATGTCCATGTAATTTGGAGCTTACACTTCTTGCTCTTTTAAGTGAGCAGCCACAAGCCCTGCACTGCTCCATGACAGCAAAAACTGTCTACATGTATTTCTCAGTTTTTTAGCAATAAAACAAAATTATGAAGTAAAAACACTTATAAATATCAAGAAATAAGACAAAAGTCACCAGTAAAATAAAACACATGGAAATTGGTTAAAAAACCATGAAGATTTATGTAAATTTTCTTTCCATTGATAAGCACATGTTTTCTGCTTAAATAACAACATGAGTACTAAAAATAGTAAAATTCTATAAATAGTACATTTTTCGTTACTAAAAATAGATGCAAAAATTACCCAAAATTTGAAATCTCACGAGATTTCATTTGAAAGCAGACTCCATATTGGGAAACAAATTCTATTTATTTTCCTTAAGGTGCATCAAATGTCAGCCATATTGTTTTGTTGAAAATTTTAGGTCAAAAATTCAAACTTTAAACTGAAGTATTCTGAGGTACATTTGAAAAGGAAAGTGTTGAGGCATTAATCCTTTACCTATAAAGAAGCTGTTACATTGCCTAAAAAGAAAAAAGAAAATTGAAATAAAAGCAAAAGCCTTACCTGAATCAGTTTGCAGCACATGTAACTTGTATGTCAAAATAAAGTTCCTTCCAATGATAAATATGTGATATGATGAATGAAAACTTTTAAAGTAACATCTATTTTAGTGACACTGAATCTCCATTACCTGAAAAAATTATTTATCAATTGAAAATTTATATTCCAATAAGGCCAGTAAACACAGCATTATCTAAGTCCAATGTTTACATAGCATGTACACAAAAGTAGTGCAAGGTTAAGTATGGTGTACTATTATGGACATGGCTTACTGATAAAAAAATTTACTGCAATAATCCATAAGATAAGCAGGATAATATTTCTTCTTGTAATAATTCATTAAAATGAATTGAAACATGACCTTCTTGCAAAATTAATTAAACATAAAAAGCATAAATTCAGAAACTGTAAATTATTATATAGGATTAATTATTCATTGAAAGCTGTTGTAATATGATGTTAATATTTAAAAGATATTATGCATAATGTTATTTAAATATTTTTTTAAATCAATTTTTAATATATAAAACATACAGTACATGGTATAATGTAAATTGGAAGAGAAATAAAGTATACCATTACAAATCTATGAAAATTAAGGTGCCTTCATTATAGTCTTTGATCAAAGAATCTACTTCATATGACGCGTCTTCGCCTTCATATAGCACCTCATATACTGCATCAGGATTTCCGTCTTTTCCAGAAGAAACAGAAAGCACGGTGCCTTTGTACCAATTCAGAGAGCCGTCTGATTCTGTCCACTGGTGGTTGATTCTCCTCCCAAGGAATTTTAATTTTCTCAAACGTGTTGATCTGCAAATTTGTATAAAAAATATTAATTATCCCTTTCAAATACATGTTGAAGGCACTTAAAATCTGAAATAAATATTTATATTTTGGCCATTTTAAACTTAAAATAAAGTTGCAAGTTAAATTTGCTCATTTATTTGGATGTTATGCAAAATTAATGTTTAAAAATAGTGAACAAAAGTTAATTTGAGAACAATTTACAGTTTGTTATAGTGTATAAAGGCAATAATATAAGTTTATAACCATCATGATAGGAAAGGATTGCATGTAATGCACAATATTTTGTCAACATTTGTGTTACTGTACACAGTGAAAAAGTGCACAAACATAAATTAATATAACAGCTTCATTCAAAAATTATAAAATTCAAATAAGGGTATATTGAAAATTCTAAACATCATTAAAAATTTAAAAATACTTCTTTATACATGTATACAGTGCAATCTAAACATTAATACTGCTAGATACCAACTGAACTTAAAAAGTTCATTTCAATATTGTAAGAAACAAAATTACCTGTTACTTAAGACCACCTGCCTTTAAAGAACACTTTCATGTTTTCTCCATATTGGTATTTCCTGAACAAATTTACAGCTGTCAAAAGAGTGCACATTGGTAATATTTCCTATTTAACAGAATTCTTTAAAGATCTTAACTATTTATAGTTATATATACATTAAAATAAATCACCTTTTACTTGATTGTGTTGGTGTTGGTATTAATGGGGTTGCAATGTAAATATCTGTGTCTGTCTTAATCTGAGTATGCAAGTCTTTTTGGTCCAATTTGTCACCTTCACTTCTCTTAGAGGTTTTTTTCTCTGATCTCTTGCATGACGTACCACAAAACTGTAAAATATAAAAATGTAGGATTAGGCAAAAGATACAGGTTCAATTAATATATATTTATTATTATAAATGGTAAGTTATTACATAGGATGATATATATGTAAGCACATGTAAATATGGTGAAAGAAACCAAAACATTAATAGTATAAGAAATTAGTAGTACATTTATTGGGAACATACCCATGGCAATTCAGGTTTTCTTATTCCAGATAGAGTACCAGGGCTCGACACTAACGATGGTCCGTTAGCCCGAGGCTACCAATTTTCCCCAAGGACTACCCGAGTTTCCAAGCTGGGTATCCCGTCGGGCTTCTCAAAATTTCAGTGACCTGATGTCTCTAAATTCACTAAAATAATTAATAAAATAACATTTTTTTAGGCTATGATTCAAAACGAAAGATAAATTCATCTTAGGCCTAAAAAAAAAAATTGTTTTGTTCGGGTCACCCGACCCTACCTAATAATATGCGCCGACCCTACCGTTTTTTTCGTGTCCAAAAAAAAAAAAAAAAAAAAAATCCATGAAAATACCGTATTATTGAGGTACTCAATGAGCAGTGTGAAGGGCAATTCAGGCGAGAATTTAGCTGTGTATATTTCCATTTCGCTCTCCCAATTGATCAAAGAGAAGTCAACATCGCCGATAAAATCTAATTCCCAAAGAGTAATTACTTGCCGATGTAAAGAGCAGAGATTGTATCCGCCCATATGACGACTGCTGATTATCATTATCCAATCAGAGCATCGCTATATACTACCCTTCTACTTGTATGCAAAGCGATAGACCGCCTACTCTAAACAGTAAATAATGAGAGCATCGGCCCGAAACGGGTATATTTTGTGAGTTTAATACGGGATTTGGCGATAATTATAGATTAATTTTTTTTCCGATCATCTAAACACGTGCAATCTTCCCTAATTGATATACACGCGGTGTTTAACAGAAGTAAAGGCGATGTGCAATGGGTTTTTCACATCTATCACAAAACTGTTAGTCAATTCGCAAAAATCTTATTATGATTGGTATGTTGTAGACAGTGAGGGTGTTTAGCATTGTTATCTTTGTAGCAATGCCAAATTTGACACAGCTTGTACGCACGTGGGCACAACATCCTAAAACTACGAATCATGATCGGCATGCGACATATCGGTCGTATATCATGTGCTCATGTATATAACAACAAAATTTGTCAGGAAGGAAGTGTTCTTATTGTTTCAATATATATATTTGTTTTAATGTCATAAATTTGACGCTCAGATTAAGATTTATTAACATTGTAAATTTCAAAAAGCATTATTTATAAAGATATTACCGAGTTTAACATTTCATGAAAATAAAGGGAGGTAATTAGAAATTTATTTTCTATAATTTCTCAGTCGAATTATTCAATAAGAAATGAATGTATATAATTTTAGTGATCAAATATAATGTGCACAAATGTTTGCAGTACATATTTTACATATTCTTCGATATTTGAAAATTGTTTTATAAGCATAATTATATGCACATAAATCAGACAATACAACATAAAAGATCATATAGGGGCCTCCGTGGCCGAGTGGTTAAAGTCGCTGACTTGAGATCACAGGTCCCTCACCACTGTGGGTTCGATCCTCACTCGGGTCGAAATCTTTCATGTGAGGAAGCCATCCAGCTGGCTTACGGAAGGTCGGTGGTTCTACCCAGGTGCCCGCTCGTGCCTGAAATAATGCCCGGAGGGGCACCTGGGGTCTTCCTCCACCAATAAAGCTGGAAAAAAAAATCGACGAAAAATCTCGGCGGGACGCTCTAGGATGACCCGACTTGAGTGTACGGTCGCCCATATGGGCTTTCCGGCGGCGACCTTAAATAAACGCATTAAAAAAAAAAAAAGATCATAAAAAAAAATTCTGTAAACAGAACAGGATAGGCAGATTTTATTAATCATTATCCTATGCAACTTTATCTGGAAAGTAAAGATATAAAGTTAATTTATTAATCATAGTTTTCTTACACATTATTATCAAAAATAGCTGATAAATAGATTGTGTTTCTATTCTAGTTAAAGGATATATAGCCTTGCATGTTAATGCAAGCCATGCATGTTAATGCATACACATTGGGATGTTTCCCTTCTGCCAATTTTTCACGAGGAAGTCACTTCTCCCTAAAATTTCCCCCCAGGATGAGCCCTGGGTACGGTACAGGTTTTATCGCCCCTCTTAGTTACAAAATGGCGGATCACATCGTCAATATTTGTAAAACGGCGTGTGATCTTCACCAGAAGAATGCTGAGAGTTTAAGACTGTTACACCTGAAATGTCTTTTGAAAACATAGAAGGGATGTATTTGTGCCACCGGGAGGGATGTCAGAAATTTCCATATCTAAATTTCAATATACTGGTGAAAAAAAAAAAAAAAAAAAAAAAAAAAAAATCCGACCTACCCTACCTATTCCTTGAGAGCATGTTACCCTAACAAAACAATTTTTTTTTTTAGGCCTTACTAGTAAATAATTAGCCGTTAGGTCACTAGTGTCAGTCACAGCAGACGCATAATAGATTCTATTTAATCTTTATAAAGTTGCGAAAAGTGAAACCGGAAGTCCAACTTAATTGCCGATTTTTCCAGCCTACTTCAATAGAATTCTTTGTCTATTAAACATTTCAATGAAAATATTTGCTTATATAGGAACCTTTTCAAGGGTTTTAACTTAAAAGAATATGATTTGTTGATTGATGTAAATCACACTGACAATGATAACCAAAATAAACGTGTTGTCTGAAATAGATCTAATTTCGGATATAATTTATTCGGACATGAAATTATTGATTGGGAAAAAATCTCTTTATAAAAAAAGAGAAGAAAAATGTTTAAATCTCTTTAAAAAAGAGAAAAGAAATATTCTAAAGTATTTGTAATTGTCTTTGCCATAACTTCACAATGTTGTCAGCATTTCTTAATCATGTACAAGCAAATGTAAGCAATAATGCCAATACATGTATATGAAGAAAACAATTGTTAACAAATACTAATACCCTAGGCATAAAAAACTAAGGCAATATCACGGTGATAGGGCGATTACCACAACTTTTCCGCGCAACGTCAAAATATCATCCTTCTGACCGAGACACCGTATATTTCTGGACAAAATATTAATGGTGGGATAAACAAATTCCAGGTAATAGCTTACAAAATATCTTACTGCTGGACATTGCAAGATTATTCCAATTGTTTAAGTATTCCATCGAATTTTTGAGACAATTTATCGTTAATCTAGCACAATACAATTCACAAAAAACACATACTTCGAAGAAATAGTGTTTGCAAAAGATCTTGTGTACCTCCACATGACTCGTACTTGTCACAAAAACATGTATTATAACGACAATGTCTTTGTTCTATGATCTAACGAGCTTGTATATTTATTATGGTTAACCCTAAGTTCAAGTTCCATACAAAATTGTGTGTTTCTATCGTAAATTTCAGGGAATATATGTTTAAAAAAGGCCTACTGAGCCGAATATTGGAGCACCGTACAACACTGAATTCAAACACCGCATTCTTTTTCCGTTAGACTGATAAATACTGGCACCGTCTTCTTTTGAATTATACAATCTTCTTACAAATATGTTTTAAATTTATTTGATGAAAGATTGTTTACTTGCTGTTATGTTATGTTATGTTGCTGTTATCATACGTTATGTTATGGAAAATTTCTTAAGGTCTGATCTGCGTTAATACTACCAGTTAGATCAGTGCAATGGTATCTATATATACATAAGGATGTATTTTCCTTTTCGAACTTATTCAAACTGATAAACCCCACATGGAAAGATTGAAGTTCTTGCCAGACTATACCATCTAACAACATCGAGAAACAAAAGGAATAAAATATTTGTTAATGGGAATTTCTCATTGCATACTAATTTGATCAAGTTGCAAAAGTCATAACATAAATTTTCATGGTGTAGTTTTTGCAGGAACCCGGGCAATATTTCCATAATCTCTTCAGTCATGGTCTCCAATGTGCTTTTATTAAACAAACTTTTGCGAAAGTTTGACTTCATATTCTTTTTCTAATGTGGTGCGTTAAGCATATCGTCCTGAAATACAGGGAGGCGCTGATCCATTGGCGTACTGCTGATATTAGAAGACTTAGTTGGGCGCCCAGTTGCTGCAGTATCTTCTGGAAGTATATGCAGCTTTGCAAATTTCGCACGTTGCTTTGGCTTGTTCAGATATAGGTTTGAACGTCTTCTTTTCTGAAAGCAAACATTAATATCAAAAATAAACGGTGCTAAAAAAACAGAAAAATGCGGTGATTTTAAGGAGGAAGAATGCGGTGTCCTAATCTTATGATTGACAAAGTTGTGCGGTGCCTTAAAATACACACGTGGAAACATAAAAATCATACCAAATACATGTATACAAAAAACGGGTTATTTATGTATTGTAACTTGTTCATACGACAACAATGTACATATTTATATTGTATTTTGGCCAGTTATATGAACTGAACGGACTAGAAATACGTTATATTTCGTAATCAAAGCAAGATTTTTTTCAGTATGCCCTAAATGTTTTCACTATCCTGACTTAATTAATGAAGCATTTTGTATGTAGTAAGGATAGATAAGTTTCAAATTAAATGGCACATTCGATGAAAAAGAAAAAATGATGATTTTACCTTGTTTTGAGCAAATTATCTGCTGTTTTCATCTCGGTTACAGACTTGCTGTCCATTTTGTACCACAGAAATATACGGTGTCTCGGACAGAAGTAAGATATTTTGACGTTGCGCGGAAAAGTTGTGGTAATCGCCCTATCACCGTGAATATAGTTTGATTAAATGGCTTTACATTTCTAATTTTGTGTTTAAATCAGGAGCAACAGATATTAATCTAATGTCCCTATTTAAATCTTCTGACAGTTAAATAACTGAATTACTAGCACTAGTAAAAGTTTGTTATTCTGATATTTTGTTGTTTTATGTCTGACAAAATAAGTTTGTAGAATAAATCAATTAGAGTAAAGACAAACATATTTTGTTCTTGTCCAAGCTTTTTACTTCTGTTTTGAATTTAAAAACACATCTAAAAGGTCATACATTATCTATACCTGAAAGTAGATTTGTATTAAGCTCTATTGAAATATTTTTTTTATACAAAAGCCAGGTATTACATAAATTTAAAACTGACATACTTATTTAGCTCATATTGCCAATATATTCTCCCCTTCCCTATAAGCTGTCAATAATATAAGCTGAGCTGATTGCCTAGCAATTTTATTTGCAACACACCTTAGTAATTCCTGGCTAGAACCCTTTCAAAACCTATTGACTTGTGTGTCACACTGCCATATTTTATAACAAAAATATTTTTAAAAAAATGTTGATGATGACTTTGAAGAGCTCAGAGGCTAGCCGGAACCTACATCTCATGCAGAGTAAAGCTTACAAACTTTTAAAAGATCTTATATGATTTATCTATTGGTGATTTTTTCCAATAAATTTGAAGAGATCTCATGTTATTGTTTTCTTATCTTCAGATACATACACTCAAAATGCATTTAAATAGAATAAGAAACATTTTTTTATGTTTAAAAATGAGGACTACCTAGATTTGCCAAGGACTACCTGATCCTCAAAGTAGGTAGTCCTTCTGACTACCCCTAAAAAAAGTTAGTGTCAAGCCCTGAGTACCATGTCTTGGAACTGCTAATTCAGGTAGCATGTGGGTGAAATAGAAAGCCTTTAATTTGGGAATCATTAACTTTTTTCCATAATTCTGTATCACAGTATATGCGTTGAATAAACATATCATGTGGATTTATTCTTCTAATTATTAGATCACACCATTTGTAATTCATAAATTTTT